CGGGCTCCCCGGGCGCGGGGCCCAGCAGGCGGCCTCGGTACGCCTTCCCGAAGCGGTCCTCCCCGAGCTCCTCCATGAACCTCACGGAGGACAGGCTGATCTCCTTGAGCTTGGCCTGCGGGAAGAGAAGCCGGTGAGACGTTCCTGCCATTGCAACCCGAGGGAAGGGAGGAGTTCTGGGGGCTGGGGGGCACCTGCTCCTGGCTCCCTGCCCCCACACTGCTCTCTGCTCTTAAGCACGCCCCCCTGGCACGAGCTGCCTGAAACCTTCCACGGATCCTCATCAGGCTGCAAATGATGCCCCGAGAGCAGCGGCGCACCAGGCAGCGGCTGCGTGCACACCTGTTCGCTGCCGCTAACCAAGCCGAGCGCAGGCGTCCATCACCCGGGGAGACCTGGCTCTCTCCAGTCCCAGGTGGGCGGTGACCTCTGCACTTTCAGAGCGCCCCTCCCCCGCCCCCTGCTCTCCTGGTGCTTCCTCTCAATTAGGTAATTTTCCACGGACGCACCACGTGAGAAATCCATGTGAACCTGCACCTCAGCTTCTACGGTTCTCGCCCCTCTGTGTCTGTCCCCCATCCTTCTGGGAGCTTCCCTGGCCCCAAGGGACTCCATGTCCCCCTTGCGGTCCAGCCACCCACTCCTGCCCTGAACACTACGTGGCCCCTGGAAACAGAGCTGAAGGAGCCCCTCCCCTTCAGAGTCCGCGGCCCCCCAAGGCTGAGCGGCCAAGCACCAGGGAGGGACTGGCACTGCTTTTGGTCCTCACCATCCTGACGCCCTGGGGTGGGGACTGTCCCCACTTCCTCTACAAGACTGTTGGCCCCAGCCCTGACCAGTTTGGCTCGGTGGATAGAGCGTCAGCCGGTGGACTCAAGGGTCCCAGGTTCAATTCCGGTCAAGGGCATGTACCTTGGTTGCGGGCACATCCCCAGTAGGGAGTGTGCAGGAGGCAGCTGATCGATGTTTCTAACTCTCTATCCCTCTCCGTAAAAAACCAATAAAATATATTTTTAAAAAGAGACTGTTGGTACAAAACTGTCAATGTGAGAAACGGCACGGCGATGCTCGGTACCAGGATGTACAGGACGCCCATTCTGCTGCCGTCCTGGGGGCCTGCGGGCGGCAAGGTGTCCGTGAGCTTCAGGAAACGCCCCTTTCCAGCCCCCCCTCCACCCGCAACACTAAGGCCCGAGGGGGCCGGGTCAGCTGCACGAAGGAGTAAATTATAGCCCTTCCCCTCCACCCGCAACCCTTAGGCCCATGGGGGGGCCGGGTCAGCTGCACGAAGGGGTAAATTACAGCCCCTCCCCTCCACCCGCAACCCTTAGGCCCATGGGGGGACCGGGTCAGCTGCACGAAGGGGTAAATTACAGCCCAGCCTGAGAGCAAGGGCGGTGCACACTGCACTGCGGAATGGGCCCTGAGCCCCCCAGGAGCAGTGGGAATGCGGGCACCGACAGGCAGCTCCCAGCTCCTGCCCCTGCGTTTCCTGCGCACCCCCTGGACAGCCGCGGCCAGGTTCACGTTCATGAACCCATGTCCTCCACATCCCCAGGAGGAGATGTGCAGGTGGCAGCTGATCGATGTTTCTCTCTCATCAATGTTTCTAGCTCTCTATCTCTCTCCCTTCCTCTCCCGTAAAAAATCAATAAAATATATTTTTTAAAAAAGACTGTTGGCTCCATCCTTCGCTGAAAATCACACGCAACCAAGCAAACCAGCCACACCCCAACTGAGCGGGAAGCAGGCCCAGCCCCTTAAAAATGCCATTTTGACCTCAGGTGGAGGGGCCCTGCCAAGCCTTCTGGTGCCCGGTGGGCACAGCAGAAGCTCTCGCGTGAGGGCGGCTCGGTGGGCTTGGGCCGAGAAGAAACAACAGAGTGAAAGGCAGTGGGAGAGGTAAGCGTGGAGCGTGGAGCACGGCAAGAAACCCAGCGGCAGGCAGAGGGGCGGGAGACCTGCTTGTGCGGGCCCATGAGGGGCAGCTCCACGTCCTGGCTGGGCGACGCCATCAGCTGCCGGCGGGGGGGCGCGGCGGCCGCCCTCTGCTTGTGGCGGCACACGCAGACCAG